CCTTGAGGGCTCAGGTGCACGTGGTCACTCAGGACTCCCAGCTGCCTCCGAAGGGCCTCCAGGCGGCTCCCGAAGTGGCCCTGGGAGCTGAGCTCTCTCCTGGAGCTGCCCAGCCCGACCCCGGAGAACCGTTTGAAGTGATCTCTTCCAGCGTCCAGGTGCCCGGAACGCAGACCTTTACCTTCGAAGTGAGCTCTGGTCCCCAGGCTGCAGACAGCTTCTCGGACGAGGAGCCTGCGGAAATCCTCGAGTTCCCCCCCGAGGACGCCGGAGACGAAGGCGGGGCTGCCAAGGAGAAGCCAGAGAGTAAGCGGCCCTCGGGCCGGTTCAGGTTTTGGCTTCCCAGCATCGGCTTCTCTTCCTCTGCGGCGGACGCGGGCGCGGATCCCGCCGAAGGTGAGCAAACGCCTGCTCCGGGCCGCGCGCAGCCCGAGGCCCGCCCCGAGGCAGAGCTGCCCAGGAAGCAGGAGAAGGCAGGCTGGTTCCGATTTCCCAGACTAGGCTTCTCCTCGGCCCCCAGCAAGCAGAGCGAGAGCGCTGGGGATGAGGCGGGCCTGGTGGAGCCCAGGCCCCAGGAAGAAGCAGTCACCTTTTTTGATGCCCGAGAAAGTTTCTCCGCGGAGGACAAGGAGGACTGGGAGCCCGCCGAGGCCGCAGGCGCTGGGCCAGGCCCCAGCCCCACGGCCGTGCCCGCAGCAGGAACGGACTTAGCCAGGCGGGAGCAGGGCGGGAACGCCGGCGCCGAGCCTGCGCCCAGGCCAGAGACCAAGTGAGGTCACAGGCGCGACTTTCCAGGGGCGGACAGAGGTGCAAACCAAGTCGGAAAACAGAGGGCACTGCCCACCTCGACTCACAGAAAGGAAACCAAGCAGAAAGCCCGCCGCCCTCGCGGAGCCCTCCGAAAATGGGGCCCAACTCTGCAAGCAAAGGACTCAGGACCACGCTGCGTAGCGTGTCCTTGAAGGCGTTGCTGGAGGAGGGCTTATCCAGTGGGTTTCTAGGGACCTACCCTGGGGGGGGCAACAATGGGCGTGGGCGTGGGCGTGGGCGCGGGCGTGGGCATGGCCCTGCCTTGCTGCTGCTTTCTAGCTGATGGAGCTTCCCTGTTTCAGGACAAGTCCCGCGTATTCCTGGGGACCCCGCTTCCTGCGCGCTTTTAACCAGCTCGCTCCTTTGTTGACTGTCGCCCACGCCAAGCTTTGGGCACTTCAGTGGGCTGCTCAGATGCTCGCAGGAGGGCGGGGGCCGGCGCTGGCTGGGGCCGTGCACAGGGGCGGCTGTGGGTGGTGAGCCGGCAGGGGAGCGAGGAGCAATGTCCGGCATCGCTGCCCCTGCGCCCCCGCCCCTCGCGCACACGCTGCACCAGACTCCACTCGCTGTTCCCCGACAGGCAATAAAGGAGGTGATGCACCCACAGTGGCGGCTGCGAGGCCTTTTGTTCCCGGAAGAACCGTCCTGAGGTGCCCCCCCCC